TTGTCGCTGTCCCTCGAAACATCGGCGAAGTGAAAAACTGTGAAACTTCGTCTCCACGAGATACGACGCATAACTATCGGAGCACTTAACGACGCAGCAGTTCATGCTGTCAACCCAGCGCGACCGCACCGCTCCGACTTCACCGAGTACCAATGCACGCGGCGTGGTTTCCTTTCGCAGAGGCTCTCACTGCCTACCTTCGGTAACGGCTGCGCGGCGGCGCGCCGGTCGCGTCGCACGGAGTGTATACGTACGCTGCATTCGCTGATAGGAAGGAAGAGAGACAAATTAGCGAAGCGTGAATGTCACACCCTGCGTCTCTTAACCTGACCGTGACTATGGAATATTTCTGTAGCCCCACCTCCATGGAAACGAACACTGGAGCTGTCACTGCCACTTTTATTCGGTCAGCCTCCTGCGGATGCTTTGGCCGACTCGGAACCTGCGGCCCACTTGTCCACTTCTGCCTCTTCGATCTTCTTTGTCTTTTCTTCCTGGTTTTTTTTTTTTTTCGTCGCCGGACAGACCAGGAAGCTTGGCGACGATCAGCGGAATTCAGGACCTTCATTATTGACAGGCTCTCCCTCTCCATTCACACCTGCACGGTTTTCGGGTCCCATGTTTGTAACCTCTCGAGGAATAGGGCTCCCGAAATTTTAGCATTCAATATACGGGATTCCCGGCATCAAGTTTCTGAACGTATCCACTCTAAAAAACGTGTGTGCGGCTACTTTCACGTACAACCCTCGGAGAGCCAATCACCGTAGCTCACGGAGGCAGCTCAGCGAATGACAATGCCGAAACATATGTTTAGACCAAAAAACGCAGTCTGAGTTGTGACATTAAGCAATGCAAAACGTCACGTGATTGGCTTAACGAGTGTTGTGCGGAAAAGCAGACGCACGGGCTTTTTTTTAGAGTGATAGGCATTCCCGTGTGTGGGTGCCTCCATCTACAGCGCTGTGCACAACATATGCCGAAGCGGAGTATCAGAGCCCGTGGAAACGCTTTTCCAATCCAGTTCAACATCAGTTTCTTCAGAACGTTATCCAGGCACGTAGCCAAAAAGGATGCCCATTGGGCCCGCCCCCCCCCCCCCCCCCGAAATGTTCCGTTTTGCTTGGAACCCCTCTGCCCCCCTCCTCCTCATACAGCATTTTGTCATGAGCGCCCCCCCCCCCCCCCCCCCTTGAAACAAAATCCTGACTACGTGCCTGACGTTATCCCTAGCACAATTTCGTAAACCACAGGTAAAGATCTTCCCGTATGCTACGCCTGCTTGTGTTATTTCTAGACTTCTACCCATTTAAAATACTGTGCTCAAGATATTGCATTTAAGTTACTTTTGGTAGTATTTTGGTATCTTGCGAATACATTTCGTCTAGAGTATTTCCGACTCTATTTTAATTACATTTCTCACTATCTTGTACATCATATCCCAAATTCATTTTGCAAACTTCGAAAAACGTTTCGCCGGAACAATCTATGGAACGAGGGATCGTCAGACTCCAAACAAAGCTCAACTTATTGCAAACTTTGAGCCAAGCGATGGAACACAGAACAGGAAACACGGAACGAACAAATCGCAGTATGCAAATACCAACAAAAGGCCAAATGGATAGCCCCAAGTACGCCTGCCTCTGTGTGACCTCCTTGTCCACTTTTGTTTCTTCTTCAAGATGTCTTTGAATGACACGTCATGCTGGGAGCAAAGTACTGCTGGCGTCATCCCAATTCAACAATCCGACCCCACATTTTGCCTGGAGCTAGAGCGGTTGCGTCAGCGGAGGATTCTGTCGCCAACGCTCGGTACGATCACAATGAGCCATTGTCAGAAGTCGCCGGTTCAGAGGGTAGAACCCCCTGAACCGGCATGAAAATGCGCGAACACGTTTTCATGCGAACACAGGCAGGCACAGGCAATGGCGTAGCCAGGAGGGCAGTTTTTCAGCACCCCCCCCCCCCTTACCCGAAACCCAGCCGACACTGTAATATACACTTGCATTTTGACTCCGTCCCCCGCCCCCCCCCCCCCCCAAAAAAAAAAAAAAAAAAGTCATGAATCATCAATGCCTTTTCAGTCGCCCCCCCCCCCCCCCCCCCCTCGAAAAATATTCCTGTATACGCCACCGAGGAAAGGTACTACCTCGGTATAGACCCTGCTGGCATTATTGAGCTGCAATGACCTAGATTGAGCTTCCCCAAAGCTCCCTTTGTGCCTATTGCGGCTTAACTTTTGCTCCGAAGCTCGCTCGAAAGCATCTTTTTCATCTCCTTTCAAATGCGCGCATCGGGGAGAGACCATCACGAGGGGAACACTCTAGCTGAGGAATCTGCGTTGGCGTCCGCCATGAACCATGTCAAGGGTGCTAGTCTCATTTCTTCTAGGGCACGGAGCTACATCTTGAAATTTTAAAACATAGAATCTATTACCAAACTACACCATTGGTGAAAACTTGAGATCGGTACGTGTAGGCGCCCATTTCATCGGTTAATTTTAGAGTGGAAACCCTGGAATGGAGTTTGCCTTGACAGGTCGTGCCATCTATACTGCGCAACTTCCGCAACGATGGGGTCTGTTTCGTCATTTGCGCCCTTGAAAATGCTGTACCTTCGTTAGCATAGTGCACAACAACACAAATATACAATCGCCTTTTCCTATTTTAGTCTGGGATTAAAACAATACCATGCGTCATCCTAACGCGTAAAACAGCGAAGGCAAGAAGCGCGAGTTATTTGCTTTCCGCACATAGGGGTGCACGTGGTAACAATGATGTTTGAAGATAAAATGCTTCATTTTTATCATTATTTATTTATTTTCACGAGTTATAGCAATAACCTAATCAATACTGTGTTTCGATGATTGATCTGTTTTGTTGCATCGCTCAGTCGAAACCATCAGAACTGTATTTGTGTTTGTGCTTTCTTCAATGAGAGAACGAAAGCTTCAGTCGCACGCCATAAGTTCTGGCGTGCGGCCGCCGGAAGAAATGAGTTAGGTGGTGGTTACATTTGTGGCCTTTACTTTATTCGAGATACCAGAATAGCGTTCTGACTCGGCTGTATTTGTGGCGCTTCATACTGTTATGTGGCGAAGCGTTACAGAGTGTTATTCGCACATTTCACGAGTTGCTGTTTGTTGTTTGACCGATGCCGACTTTTAATTTCTTAAACAATTCTAAGTGATTTACCTAGTCTAATTTGGGGCCGATATATAGTGACATTATAGTACGAATATTTATTTAAGTGGTGCGTAAAATACGCAGTTCGAGTACCACCATACATATAAACTACACTTCTTAGAAAGAGAAAAAAAAAAACACATAGGGCTATTTATATACTCAAACATTAATAGCGCGCTATTTAAATACACCGCAACCTTCTGGTCTGCGAGCAAAAGGTTTCGCACCCTCTTATTTTTCTCGTAATGTTGTCCTTAACTTTGTGGTAACCTTGCGGTGCGCCCACTTGGAAACCAATAGATTTTAATTAGCTTCTACTGCTGTCAATACAAATCAGGGTTTACGTATTTTGAACTATTCCTATATGTCACGGTGACTGAAGCCCTCCGAATCATCATCACAGAAAGCTCTGTCATGAAATTATATTAGTTAGATAAAAATTAAACCAAAAATAACACAATTGCTTCTTGGAAATATTCAACAACAATAAAATAATAATGTGAATAAAATTAATCTTACCTCCAACATATTTCCGATTTCCCGCGAAATAAAATATTCTGCATACATATAGAAATAAAAAAAAAGGCTAAGGACAGAAATGATCTACTGAAAGCTAATCATAATCATTAGCACACCGAGACGGAAGTCAACCCGATACCTTGCAGCCTCAAAGTGCATTCAGTTGATTATCCAGGATATGCTTCAAGCAATATGTCCCCAAGCAGCACGGATTATGGCCAAGCAATAGCCAATGGTTGGGGATGGTCTTGTGGCCAGTGGCCGAAGAGTGGCCATTCATTGGCCAATGATTGGCCGATGGCTGATGGCCAATGGCCACTGGCCAATGGCCAAAGAAAGGCCAGTCATCGGCCAATCTTTGGTCACTCTGGCCACCGGCCGAAGGACCATTGCCCCCAATGGCCAATGCTAGGCCAAGTCTGTGCTACTTGGGTCCATAATAAAAAAAAAAATCGGTTTTACTTTAGACAAAACAGTCACTACGTTTTCAATATATGCAGGGACGTACGCAGTCAAACAAGCCCGCGCCGCGTTAGAAGTTAGCAACAAAGAAGAAAGCCGGAGAATAAGACGACGCGCCGTCGACTCATCGTGGCGCGTCTTTGCGGGTGGAGGCGCTTAGTATTGCCCGACTGCGGCGCCTCCTAGACATGTGCTCTGGGGCTATTGATAACACTCTTTACAGCGCTGATATCCGATTGCTAAGAAAACTCGCTGCCGCTTTTGACGTTGTTTCACCACGGTTATGTTGCGGCTGCCAGGCATGTTCGACGTCCACGCTACCCAATAGGTAAAATTAGGAGCTCTTTATGCTCATTTTTAAAGTTCTGTACGAGCGCGAGCTCGAGTCTACCCTTTTCGGTTCTGTGGAATGCCAGATTAAAGCCTTACGAGGCTTCGATCTGGCATCAATAGGGGTCGCCATACGTCGTGCTATAATGAAAACTAGAGCATATCACTCTGGGTCCTTGCAACTGCAAGGCCGGTGATCCACTATCAAAGGCAAACGATGTCCACCAACTATTTTTGTCGTCGTTTTTCGCCACGATTCTCGGGCAATAAGCTAAGAGTTCAGGGGTAACTCCTTCGACCTCTTTCCCCTTTAGCAGAGCGAATGCTGCAGAGAAGACGACCTCCCCTCCAGCGTTCGCTCTGCTGAAGTGGAAAGAAGTGGAAGAAGCTTCCCTGAAATCTTAACATGTTACCGACTAGCTACATATTGAGGGCTCACCTATTTCTCTTCCTACTCCTGGCAGTGCCACCATCTGCGCTACTGCACCGGGTGGCCGTGGTGTTTGGATGGCTGACTGGTTGAGGGTGGTGTTGAACGACGCTCCAGGAGGGGACGGTCCGAGAGGTGTGCTGGATGGCACCCCGGGTGCAGGTGGAGCGAAAGAGGCGCCCGGTGTCTCCCCTGGAGTGGGTGGGGCGGAGGAAGAGGCGCCTGGTGTCGCTCCGGAAGCGGGTGGAGCGGGTGAGGCGGAGGAAGAGGTGTCCGGTGTTGCCCCGGGAGCGGGTGGAGCGGTGGAAGAGGCGCCCTGTGTCGCTCCGGAAGCGGGTTGGGCGGATGAAGAGGTGCCTAGTGGCGCTCTAGAAGCAGGTGGGGCGGAGGAAGAGGTGCCCGGTGTCGCTCCGGGGGTGGGTGGGGCGGAGGAAGAGGCGCCTTGTGTCGCTCCGGGAGCAGGTGAGGCGGAGGAAGAGGTGTCTGGTGTCACTCCGGGAGCAGATGGGGCGGAGGAAGAAATGTGCAGTGTCTCTCCGGGAGCGGATGGGGCGGAAGAAGAGGTGCCCGGTGTCGCTCCAGGAGCGGGTGGTGAAGAGGAAAAGGTCCCCGGTGTTCTTCCGGGAACGGATGGGGCTAGGGCAGAGGTGCCCGGTGTCGTTCGGGAAGTGGGTCGGAAGGAGGAAGATGTTCCCAGTGTCTTTCCCGGAGTGGGTGGGCCGGAGGAGGAGGTACCCTGCGGCGTTTCGGAGGCAGGTGGAGCGGAAGCAGAGCCCGGTGGCGCTCCGCGAGTGTACTGGGTTGGCGGGGTGCCTGGTCTTGGTCTGGAATTGGATCCCGGTTTCGGTTCAGGAGGCGATTGTGAGCTCGCCTCGGTGGAGTTCTCGATGATGCTTTTGGTCACGATAACCGGTCCGCGTGTCTGGAGGCGAAGGAGTGTCAGTCCCGCGAACGCCATCGTGACGACCAAGCAACTCAGGACCACGGGACGGACGATGTGCATTATTCCATGGCCTGCGGTCGCCTTGACCGCGCCCTCCTGCACGCGACAAAAAGGAAGGCAGTAACGTAGATGTAGTGACCTCTAGACTCTCCACGAACCTATTGGCAATCCTAACTGCGTGCATTCCTGGCCCGTTTTACTGTTTCACACATCGGCCGCCAGGCCGCACCTGTTTTCACTACACCCTTTGCTAGGCGGTAGCTCCCGCTCTTCTCCTTCACGTCGTTTCCGTTGGGCGGCTTCACCTTCTCTAGAGTTGCAAATACTGACGACTGGGGGGTAGGGCAACACGGCAGGGAAAGATATAGCAGAAGAGATGGGGAGCAGATGTGCAGTCTAGGGAGTTTCAGTACCATAACCTTCGGAGTGTTGCCCCATAAACTTTTGAATCATCAGCATCCGACTTTGGGTGTCAACACGTTTCGGTTTCTGGGCATTTCAGAGTGAAGACATTAGGTGTTTTAATGGATCGTTCCAAAGATTCCAATAATGACGCCCGATACTGCGCCGACGCCCCTGCGCATGCATCGTATCGTTATCTCGTGCCGTTATCTGAGGTATCGGAACGATCTACTAAAACGCTCCATTACGAACCACACACGGTTATGTATACCGTATATCAATCAATCAATCAGCGTTTATTTCAGCTTGAAATACAAACTGAGGGTCGCAGGAAAAAAGCAGTGTCGTACACTGCTTGACGGGCCTCGCCACCCTACAAGTCAGCAGTGTAAACGCGGTAATAAATAATGTATATTCAAAATGAACAGTACAGACAAAATTAGAAGTACAGACAAATGATAGGAAAGCCTTCCTAAGCACAGAAGAAGACATATCATTCAAGTGATCACATAGAGGAGTATTGAAAAACTTAGGCAAGATATATCGCAACATTGCAAAGCCGTAGTTCGTTCTACACCTAGGTAAAACAAAGATGTCTTTTTCCCTGGTTGCATAAGGTGTATTGTGGGGCACAGTAGAAAGAATACGTGAAAGAAAATTATAATTTTTTGCTATTATATTTTTGAAAAAACACGCGAATCTATATTCAAATAAATTATGTACAGGCACAATTTTAAACTGCAAGTAAGCCTGCCCGGTTGGAGAATTATATGGAGCTTTTGTAATACCACGCAACATTTTCTTTTGCAATATCAGAAGCTCCTGAATATTGGATGTTGTGGTATTACCCCAGACAAGGAAACAATAGCTTAAATACGAATAAAAGAAAGCGTAATACAAAGAAAGTTTAGGTTTTTTCAGGTAAAACATGCTTATTGCGTGTGGTCATTCCAACAACCTTAGAAAAAGCAAGACAAACCTCGTTTATGTGGGCGTCCCATGTCATCGTTGCAGTAAAACTTACACCGAGAGATCTAAACATTTCTACGTACTCGATGACGGTGTCACTCAAAACTAAAGGCGGTGGGTGCATTACAAATTTTCCTTCAGGACGAAATATTACGGCTTTAGTTTTCTTTTTGTTTATTTTCAATGAGTTGACTAATGACCACCGTGCTAATAAGGTCAATACTCGGTTAGCAGTGCCAGTTAGTTTTTTAACGTCGGAGGAGGAAAAGAAAAGGCTCGTATCGTCAGCGTAAATAACGTATTTTGCAAGAGTACTAATATTGGAAATGTCGTTTATATAAATATTAAAGAAGAGTGGTCCAACGATGCTACCCTGAGGGACACCATTAAAAATTTGAAGGGATTTGGAGCGAGAGTGATTTATGACAACATATTGTAATCGCGAGCTTAAATATAATTTTATAAGGTTGAGGGCATGTCCTCGTATGCCGTAATGTTCGAGCTTAGAGAAAAGCATTTTATGATTTAGAGCATCGAATGCTTTACGAAAGTCAATAAAAATACCAAGAGTAAGACGTTGCGATTCAAAACTGTTCAAAATGTATTCTTTTTGGGCAAGCACGGCATGTTCCGTTGATCTATTTTTGTAAACCCATACTGGCAATCGGACATCACAGAATGCTTTAAGAAGAAATGATTGAGGCGGCAACGAATTATTCGTTCTAACCCTTTAGAAAAAAACGGAAGTATAGATATTGGTCTATAGTTACCCAAGTCGTTCTTATTTCCTTTTTTTATAAATTACGGCTACTCTAGCTAGCTGCATAGCTGTTGGAAAGTGTCCCGTCATTAGCGCTACATTATAAATATGTGTCAGGCATGGTGTAATTATTTGCAAAACATATTTTACTGGGCGACTTTGTATATCATGGGAGTCAAGGCTATTTGTATCTTTTAAACTTTTGCAAATTGAAAAAAACCTCAAGCTCGTCAGTCGCTTCAAAGAATATTGATTCCGCCAACCTATCACTTAGAATATAGCGAGTTTTAGTAGACCGTGTTTCCCGCTCCGCTAGCCTGTCGCTACGAAGAAACCGACACTGCGCCTGCGCACCGATGGCCTTGGCTGTAGAGTTCCGGGTAGCGGAGGGGCTTAGCGGAGCGGGAAACACGGTCTACTAAAACCCGCTAATAAAAAATCTCGGAATTGTAGTGACTGTCACTTACAGTCGAAAAAAAGGAATTAAATGATGTAGCGAGATCGGAACCCGACAGCTCAGTTCCATTAACCGTTAAGCTCGTGATCACTTGGGTATTAGTATGTCTATTCAGGAGGAAATTTAGACGCCTCCATTTTTCCTTGATATTACTAGAAAACTGGTGACCAAAGTAATTATTATAATACATGTTTCTCGCCAATTTAATTTCCCTGTTTAGCCGGTTGCGTAAGGACTTATATTCTGCTAGCACGGTAGGATTTTTGTTTTTAATAAACATTGCAAATAATTTGTATTTCTTTTTAACGAGTCTAATTAAACGTCTAGTCATCCATGGTTTACGCGCACTTTTGGATGGTTTTATTTCTACAGTGGGAAAACATTCATTATATACTGATGTGAAGGGCTCTAGAAGCCTGTTAAAAGCATCATCTGCAGCGGTCTCGTTGTAAATAAGGCTCCAATCCACCAAGGGAATACGGTTCTTAAATAGGTCGAGCTTTTCTTGAGATATTAGCTGACGTCTCAATTTAGCGATATCGTTCGAAAGAATTGTTTTCTCTATCCGCTAGAAAACAGGTAAGTGATCGCTAATATCGGCAGCAATTCGACAGGAAAAGAATGCGCTGTCATTATTAGTAATAATTAAATCTAAAGTAGAAGCAGAAGAAGCTGTAATGCGCGTTGGACTGTTAATAACATTTTGAAAACCCGTAGAGTGAAGTGTGAGTAACATTTGCTGCTGCATTGGGCTGTTCGTACCCATATCAATATTAAAATCGCCAGCTATAATAGACACATAATTTTCAGAACTAAATAAAAACGTTTCACGTTCAAATATCTCCCAAAATTCGCCGAAGTTCCCATGAGGTGGTCGATAGACAACCGAAAATATATCACGTCCAGATTTCACGGTAAGCATTTCAATATCACGGTTGGAAAAAGAGTGGTCAGATAGCATATCACAAACATAGCTATTTTTTTATCAGTATAGCAACGCCCCCGCCACGCTTTTCTGTGCAATTGATATAAAAAGGATATGTCGACACTTTGATGTCAAGTCGGTGTAGTTTATTTTATCATTAAAGTACGCGCTATGGTATCACTGGTCCGCATCGCCGTTGGGATTCAAGCATACAGTTCTAGCTACAGAGGCCACCCTACGGAAAGTAAAACGTCACTCAACTAGGAAAGTGACGCAGTCAGCATTGAGCAATATGAGGCCAGAGGTTGTACCATATGTACACAAAATGGCGCACAACCTCAAGAAGGTTGCGAACAGGTACGGAGTACCTCTCGCGTTTTCAGCGCCAAAGAAACTCGACCAACTTTGCCCTTGAATTGCTAAAGAAAGCAGGAACGAGCGACGATGTGGCGCAAAGCACGCCAGGCCGTACATCGAATGCGTCACTGAGGTCGTGTATGAAATCCCCCTAACGTGTGGAAAACCTTACGTTGGACAAACGGGTAGATGCACGAATGACCGTTTACGAGAGCACGCACAAAATTTAAAGACAAATGACGGGGCACATTTTCCCGCGCACTGTAGGGCCTGCAAATGCGAGCCACGCTTCGGCGATACCAAGGTTATTGGTAGAAGCAGAATTCAAAGAGTACGCGAACTGCAATAATTTTATCAAGAAGAGGGGACCCCAGTGCGTCAGCGACACGTCAATAGCATTGTATGATGCTGCGATTCGTTTTCTCTACAAATACATGTAAACAGGTGTATGCTCTTGCATCTCGCCGATGTGCAGCCTGGGTGACGATAAGTGTATCAGATATATAAATATATATATATATATATATATATGTGTGTGTGTGTGTGTGTGTGTGTGTGTGTGTGTGTGTGTATGTGTGCGTGTGTGAAGTAAGGTAAATATAAAAACAATGGACCGGAAAAAGTTAATAAGTCAAAGATGCGTACTGTCGGAGTTACTAATTCGAAGTTTATTACGACGTTTCGAGCGGGGACCGCTCTTCATCAGGTGAAGAGCGGTCGCCGCTCTTCACCGCCGAACCACCCAGGAGGTTCGGCGGATAGCCCGGACGCAGAACAAATGGGCACCATGGACGCATCTCTTTTTAGATGTGCTAGAAATAAGATGGGTAGCGCCAAGATGAAAATATTGATTGGCACTTACGGCCGACTGGGACACAGCGTCTTTCGAATACTGATCTTCCATATGGTTCTGGAGCGATCGTGCTTGGAACAGCCGTTGATATCCTCGGCAAGTGTCGCGTGCCCAGTATCTACTTCTTTGTTCTCCTGCGGAAACTGCCAAGTACCAGGGGCGGTAAAGCCGAAACTGCTGCCGCCAAACTGTTTCTTATGCTGCATGGTAGTCCATGGACATCCAGCGATTGACTACATGTCTAGAAGCGGAAACTGCTACGGCGAAATATGATGGACAGGCAACGATTGACGAAAAATCTAGGAGCGGGCCAATTGTTCCCATGCAGCCCAGTAACTAATCCATGCATAGCTAGCGATTCACGATATTGCTAAAAGCAGAAATTGGAGTGGCCAAATTGTTTACATCGAGACATCCATGGTGGACGTTAGTTAAAGCCTTCCCGTTTGGCGTGCCAAACAAATTAAAATTTTCTACATACGTGGATAGATAGATTAAAAAGTGTATACACAAAAAGAAATCGCCGACTTCTTTTCGTGCCTTCGCGGTGTAAGCACGTGCAGCTTGCACATGAAGCTAACTCTATAGACGCTTTGCAGCAGCTGTGCATGGACGCCGCCATAACTGACCTTCAATTTTTGTTTCCTCTTATTTTGTTCACTTCACTTTATCATTACCATAGCAGGCCAGGTTATTGCCACATTAGATTCTACTGTGTTCTTTTCTAAAGCGTCGACCTTTGTAGAGCATCGTCAACTGCCGTTCCAGTTGCTCGGCATCTCGTTAAGACAAGAGAAGGTCAGCAATGGTGGCTGTAATTTGGCGCGTGTGTAAAGCGTCTATATACTTTGTTTCACCGTAAGTCCAGATGCAGCCAGTGCTGCTAGCGCGAGCATGTGGCCCTGAACAAAGTTGCACCGCACGAGCGCGCGTGCTTGGCAGGGAAGCTGAAAGCCCGGTGTTCGCTCTTGTATTTTTTACTACGGTCACTCTTAAAGAAAACGAACTGTAGCAAGCTTGAAATTGCGCGGGCTTGTCCACACGAGCAAATACATGGCGGCGGCCTGTGAGCTCGCTTGCAATCGTCTCTCGAGCGAGAGTTTTCAGTCTTCGCGCTCTGCCAAAGCTATAGAGCCACTCTATATGGCAGCGTAGCTGCCAGAGTAGCGACACGACGCAAAATTATCTAGATACACGACGTCAGAAGCGCCTATAGTGATCTCCATTATGGGCCTGGCAGGTTTCTATGGTAACCGCCCTGCTAGCGACGCCGGGCGGCAACCTTTATCTAGTTGATATCTCCATTCCTTAATTGAAAAGTGGTAAAAGACCTAAAAGACGCTTTGCATGGCGGTACGGCACGGGCCTCTGGAGGAGCGGTGCCTGTTTCTTCTGTGAAATGAGACGATTTGCAGCGTGCACGGACAAGGCGAGTGGTTTTCCGCGCCGCCGGGATGGCGGCGGCTTCGTGAGTTGAACGTGCCGTCCTTGTACTTTCGGACTTCGCTCTTACGGAACAAAATCCGATTACGCCGGCCACGACAGGACGATTGTCTTGGGACATGACTGCTGCTCGACTGCCCCATAGTAAGAGAATGTATGCTTAGCACCATACTTCTTCAAGACCCAATCATTCATTCAAGATGAGATTATCTCACCGACTGGCGGGGAGCGACGTCGACGACGGTATCACCCTCGTTTTCGGTGATGAACAGTCGACGGGGTTAAACCAAGAAGGACAGCACGGTGGTCTACAGAGGATTGTTAACGCCATCAAAAGAGACGGACGCCAGATATGAGGTGTTCTTGCCGACAGGCCAAGTGGTCGTCCGGAAGTTTGCCGGCATGCAAAATGTCAAGATTTTTATCTGGTGTAGCACGCATACCCGTGTTAAATGGGCTATTAAACGATTCTTTAACTTCTTCTTCCTTAGCTTTAATCCTCAACTCAAAAGAGAACAGTGGAATCATGCGGTCGTGACATGTTAGGGCACCTGTGCGATGGCCCCAAGCTTCCATTGTGCTTTTTTAGCACACCATAGAACTTGTCATTCGCAAGTACACTCATGTGCACTCATTGGCCACGAACGTGAATTCAAATATTAATCGACGAATTGATTGCTGACAAGCGCATACGCCCGAGTGACGCAGTTTTCGTGTCAAATGCGTGAGCTGGGTTCGGCTGACGTCATTTTGGCTTTTGTAGGTATTGCAAAGAGGATATTTAGAACCATACACACATGATTATAGCATCATATCACACGGACATTAATGAGCACAAAACGGGCCCAGCTACAGAAAATAAATATTACACTCGTAAAAAATAATTGTCTGTAACTTGTTAATTACAAAGACGAACACACCTCTGAGCAAATAAATTTAATAGTTTGTGTTGATGCATTCTTATAGAGCAGGTCATTACATATACGTCATTTGAGCAAACGCCAACTTGCCGCTTAAAAAAAAAACAAAAAAAAAACAAAAAAACACTGCGATCAAATGCAAGCTATTGCAACGAAAGGACGTTTATCAAAGTCTTCAGAACTGTCAATTCGTAAAATCGTCGATTAGTACAAAAAGGTTAAAGGTCGCAGGCGCTTCCTCGCTTAAAGTTGCTGTGATTATTCGGCGACCCAGGGCTGAAACAACTACCCCTAGGCCCTACACACGACGTATACCTTTCGTTTCGATTCTCAGAAATTCCAAAATTCAAAGGAAGCTAGAAAATGCGAAAATATTATCCTAAAAGCTATATCGTAAGATCGTTGATTAGTACAAAACGTAAAGATCGTAGGAGCTTCCTCGCTATAAGTTTATGATTACGCGGTTACCTGGGGCTGAAACAACTTCCCCAAGGTCCAACACGCGACGCATACAATTCGCATCGATTCTCAGACATTCCAACGTTCAAACAAGGCTAGGAGTATGCGAAAATTGCATGCAAAATGCCTTTTCGATCCTCGAACACATCCAGGGGACCTATGTTGGACTTTCGAGAAACTAGAAACAGAAGTGACGTAGTGGCAGGTGACGCGTAACCAAGCAACGGCGCACACCGCGAAACCGCCCTCTTTGACGCCGTGACGACATGGCAAGATTGGCGTCTGTCACTCACTTGAGAGGCGTCAAGAGCCAACCGCCGAAGAGCGGAAGTAGCTACGCTGTCCCCCTGCCGTACCTACGCTTTCCCGGCGGTACCTATCTGGAGCCTTGTCCCTACGCAAGCGTCCGTTTCTCCGGCAACCGGAAAGGCATTTTCTGCTTTTAGTCAAGCGATGGCAGCCAATCCCTTGCGGCGGCGACCTTCACATCGGCTCTTTTTTAAAGAAACTTGTCAGACTAAAAAAATACACGTGTTCTATTGAAATGAACAACTGATTTTGTAGCGGTTCCAAAAAATATTAGATGAAGTAAACTCGCATAAAAGGTTAGAACAACATGCGGGATGCAAATGAGCGCCTAGTTCAAATCACTGTCACTGATGACGGCTCAAGAAACGGGAGGATGTGGCCTGTCATGCTCGCTCTTCTTGCGTCGTGATTGGTTCCTCGGCGTTCTCATCGGCTAATGCGGCTATCTCATTGGCTGCGGAGCGATAATAAAAGGTTCCAGTCTTGCAGTACCCTGCGTTTCTTAAATTGTCAGTGAATATGGTTCAAACAACATGGACGACGGGAGCAGGCAACGTGTGACCGCGGCCCAGAGGGAGGAACTCGATACATTTATGTTCGAGAACCCCTCTCTGGTACGCGGTGCAACTGAGCTCAGCCCGGCCCTGTCCAGAGACGACAAAGTTCGTCTCTGGACCGAGCTAACCTCCCGGCTCAACTACCTCGGGCCTCCGAGGAAGGAGCCGGAAGCTTGGAAGCGCTACTGGGCCGTGCGGGTGTCGAAGGCGCGGGCGCGGGCAGCCGAGCTGGCGAAACAGGCGAGGTAATTTGCGTCGTCTACTCATAGTGTGGACCAAGCTATTGAATTACTTCCTTTACTCGCAGGCAAACTGGGGGAGGAGGCGGCCGGGTGCGCTCACTGGCGTCATCATACGCACGTATTTTGACGCTGGTGGGCGAGGACTCGGCCCTGGGCGCTCCTGGGTTTTCCGTCCCCGCTTTTGAGGACGAGGCCGAGGTGAGTGCACGCTTGAACCTAACATACTATTGCACATGTAGCTGTTCAATCCCAATGGAGAATATCCGTGCAGGGTTTTATTATCAGTGAGCTAAGATGTATACCGCAGTGAAATGTGATAAATATGAATGCAGGGGCGGATGCAGAAATTTCCTGAGGGGGGGGGGGGGGGGGTCAGGTGTTGGTCAGCGTAACATATGTTTAGGAACCCCCTCCCCCTCTCCCTTGTTTAATGCCCTAAATTTTACACATGCAGAAATCAAGAGGGGGGTCAGGACATCCGACCCCCCCTCTAAATCCGCCCCTGTGAATGTGAATATATGCATTAAAGGTGCTGGCACTTTTTATAATTCAGCGAATCGGAGGGCGGATTAAATCATCCACGTAAAGGCAAAATCTAAAACAAAAGCACTTACGACAAAAAACACTATATTTATTGCAGTAATACTGGAGTTTCTAAGGCCAAAACATCTGTAGTTTTTGTGTAGTCCTTTTTCTTCTTGCTTTTGTGGTTGTTGCAACCCTCAGTTGTATTGTGTGCACGCTGTCGTAAGATTCAATTTCTGTATCACAGAGGTACATTTTCACAAAAACAGGGGAAGTGCAACCTTTTGAGCTGCCACTAGACATATTTGGGGAGTCAATCCTAGACATGAATGGCACTACCTCTGAAACAGTGTAATTTTGTTTCCCCTGAGTGGAATGCAGCCTCAACAAACCCACTCTCAATATCTAGAAAATGCAGACAAGTCCTGTGTGCTGACTAGGACTTACAAATTCCCTTCTAGGGGAGACCCACAGGCGCCCAGGCAGGTCACGGGCAGCAGGCAGCCGAGCCGGTGCCCTCCACCTCGCGGGGTGAGACCTCTCATGAAGACAACTAGGATTGTCTGATATGACAGAAGCATTCTTTGTTTCCTGGCAGATGTCAGGCCACCTGCAAGGCCCCGGGTGCGGCCCACGGCGCCTCGTGCCACCCCCCGAATGTCGAGGCAGGAGCGGCACGACGAGGCTGCCATGCAGGCAGTCGCCAACCAGACTCGGCAGGTGCAGCAGAACGAGACGAGGGACGCGCGGGACGTGGAGTTCCAAGGCCAGGTATTGGCTCAAACATAGAACTCCGTAACATGACTAAATAGGTACGAGTTTAATAAAGATGCCACTGTGAAAGTGGGACTGCAGCAGAGGGCAATGGAGATCTACAAAAGCATAATGCAAACCGAACTGTGACATATGCAAGGTTTTCACGCCCTCTGGGTGTCTAGAAATATGTTGTTGCTGCGCATTAAATGCCCCGTCTTTCCAGCTCCTGCGTTCAATCGATACCCTCAGCCACCGCATGGAGGCTGTTGCGGAGTCGAACCAGGAGCAAGCTCGCGCCACACAAGCGGTGGCCCTGGAACTCCAAAACACGACCCGCGTGCTCGTCGAGGTCGTTCTGCTGCTGACTGCCGAGAGAAGTCGAGCCCTGCGAAGCCAAGACCTGCCGAGCCCTGCCCAGCCACCCCTCCAGCCCAGCCAAGTCCAGCCCCGCCCCGCCGAGCCCAGCCCCGCCGAGCCCAGCCCCGCCGAGCCCAGCCCCACCGAGCCCAGCCCCACCGAGCCCAGCCGAGCCCAGGACCGCTGAGTCCAGCCAGATATAATTTAGTTTTATGGATGATTATTTTATGTTCCAAGTTGGTATTCATTTTTTCTTTTTTTGTTTTGTTCTCCAGGCGGAGACAAGAAATATGTTCTTTTGCGCCACTGGTATGTGGTGCGTGTTAATGGACAAGTTCCTACGCACACTGGGCTCGCCATACAGTGAATAATACTATGAGTGAGCCACTGCTTAAAGGAAGGCTGATGTTCTGCTGTCTAAACATCTTTACAACAATGTTGACATTACGGGAAAGTCCGTCCATGCTTTTCAGTTCATATTTTGTTTACAAAGAACTGTGCCTTCTGTACTTGTTTATTGGAGTCACTATAACCAGTGAAGCAAGTTAGTAATATGCTCTTGGCAACAGGCATGACAGATATATGCTAAAACTAGCCATTCCTCATGTTTGTAGGACAGCAATATGTAGTGTGTGCTTTTTCATCAAAGGTGCCAAGTGGCTTGTGCCATAGGAATTTTATACTTGTAGTTTTCTTCCGCCTGAAACTAGCCTCTGGGTTTGCGATTTTTCTTATATCGCAATAAAGTGGAGATTTGGGCCAGTTGGTTCATGGCAAACAAAAAAAGCGCTGAAAAAACAGGGATGAGAGTGCGCCTTGTCCTGTTTCCCTTCATCTGTGTCCCTGTTTTTTGTTTGTTTTCTTATATCATTGTTGATCTCAACATGCCTCAGCTATGGAATCTGTCATGCTTCCATGTGTGACAAAACACAAACGAAATGATAGTGTGGTGAATTAAGTCAAGTGTAAAATAATGTCTGTGATATATCCTTGATAATGAGAAAGAATTTATACGGTGTTTCTAGTCCATGCTCAATTTCACTTTAAAAAAAGCATTGCAACCTGTGTTTTCAAATGTGTGACAAAACACAAACGAAATGGCACTGTGCTGAATTAAGTGAAGTGTGAAATAATGTCTGTGATATATCCTTGATAATGACAAAGAATGTATACGGTGTTTACTAGTCCATGCTCAATTTCATTTTAAAGAAAGCATTGCAACCTGTGTTTTCAAACATGTTTATTTTTCACGTTACGGCATTGTTATAAAAAAAAGAAAGCACTTTCAAAAACAAACTACTTGTTGTCTTCTTTATACATTCAAGTTGGCACGAATCTAATCTGCGATTATCGAGTAATACTCCTGGCTCTGTGGTAGCCATAATAGATTGTAAAATGGAGCAGGGCAATAGAAGTGTAGAGAAAATGAGTCGGATGTCCAAACCCGATACAAACAATATATTGTAGTAAAAAATAAAATAGGTCTCACCAGTAGCCTCATTGAGTTCTCAGTCTCATGCAAAGGCTAGCTTCATAACCCTACAAAATGTTCTGCTATTGTTCAAAAAATTTGTGCACCCTGCTTACAAATGAAAAAAAGGCTCTATCAACATAACTGATGCACCGAATAGCTTTTCGGAGGCAGTACTAAATGTCCGTAAAGGTAGCATGGTGGTTGTGCGACGAACTGCAAGGCGGAGTTGACACTGTGGAGCTTATGGACGGCCATGACTGTGGAACAACAAGTGCAGTACATACTGCCACGGGGAGGGCTTCTCTGGTGGCGAGGGCGTCAGTTGAGGCGAGGACGACGAAGGGTTCGCTGTCGCCGGTGGCGTCCCTGGTGTGCGGGAGTGCCACCGTGGCGAGGACGATGAGGGGCTCCCTGCCGCCGACGGTGTCCCTGATGGGCGGGACTTCCGTTGTGGCGACGGACTCCTTGGCGCTGGTGGTGTCCCTGGTGGGCGGGACTGCCACCGTGGCTTGCGTGGGGCTCCGGAGCGGCACGGCTGTGGCAGGTCTGGAACTGGGCAACAAGGCACTGCCTCAGAGCCCTCCCCCTGTCCGAGAGGCTGACCCAAGGGTGGGCAGGAGCCGGCCTCTCGTCATCCGCCGCTGACCCCTCCGAGCTCGACTCAGAACCGTCCGAGCTCGGCCCAGACTCCAACCCTGGCTCGTCAGGGTCAGAGTCTGGCTCCGGTTCTGGCTCATTCGATGAAAGGCAGATATTGTGGAGCACTGCACACGCCGATATAATGACGGTGGTTGTTGTGGGATGATAAAACAGAGCCCGGTGCCTTTGCAGACACCGGAATCTGCTCTTCAACAGCCCAATGCAGCGCTCCACAACGGACCTCATCGAAGAATGTGCCTTATTAAACCGGCCGCATGCGGTGGAGGTCGCGTGGAATCCAGGGACAGGGGTGATGAGCCAAGGCTCCAAGGCATAGCCGCTGTCACCTGCACATTCAGAGAAGGAAATGTATGATATTAATGCTGTTCTCTTTAATAGAATACTTCAACGAAATTTGAAATGTACCCGTCATGTTCAGAAATAGGCTGAACATGATCCACAATACCCGTAAATGACAATCATACATTTCCCTTTTGAGCCTTATGGCTATATTTTTCATTATAAACAGGCCAGACTGGCAAGCGCTCGGAGAGCAGCCACCAGAGAGCACGTCACATCCGGTGCAACTGTGATGTAGTTTCTCTTGGGATGAGCAAAGCTGCGGCGAGGCAGACATCGTCAGGATGCCCTAGCTGTTCAAGCAACAAAAGCGGTCGAAGCATGCCAGCGATCAGGCCACCGCAACAAACCCCAAAGCTGCTTTTGTGTAATTTTGAGTGACAAATTAATATTCTATAATCTTGGTACACACAAAAGAGAGTCCCGTTGAGTGTGGAGTTGCTCCCTCCCCTTGTCTGTTCTGCTGGCCGTTGAGCTGTCAAGGTGACGTCAGGTTCAAAGCATGTATGGTTCTAAGCGAGACAGTCATCGGTCACTACCTGTCAAGGTTCCTAGACATCTAGAAGGTGCTCTTTCCTAATCGCCTAATTTTTTTTAATGCCTTTTTGTCTCTTTTTTAACAAGATATTGGCGTGTCCGATGTGATACTGCTCTTCTGAACACGTATAGACCAAAGAATAAGCACCGAAATTTTGTTGTAGTATCCCTTTAAAATTGTTGACAACTAAGCAAAGAAAGGCGCATGTTTGCAACCTTTCCCCCAGTACTTGACAGCTGCGTCAGAGTGTTTCCAAGGAGACGCGTCACAGGTATGGCCAGAGCGCATGCCAGTTATCTATGTTCGCAACAGTATGTGTGATATTGTAGCTTATAAGTGGTGCAGAGCCATCATGTACAGTACCAACAACTAGAGTATGCTTACCGAGCAGAAACCTGCCATCGTCTACCAGCCGGCCTTGCTCGAAGTTGCTCCGGAGCCACGAGTAGCGCCACACGAAGGAGTCGTGCACCGACCCAGGATACCGTGGGTCGATGCTCATGACCCGGCAGTCGGCGTCACACACCTGCAATAGAGAGACATGTGTCGACATTATTTCAACTGAATCCACAAACAGTTCATTGCACTCATGGTCATGGGGCCCTGTCAAACACGATTTACATGCTGACCAACACACCACCATAAATTACGTGGTTTACAAACTTAAAACATTAAAACAACGCAAAAAACGACGGACTGGATGAAGGAGGATATAGACAGAGCGCTGAGCGCAAAAAAACAACAAAAACAACGACGGACTGCATGAAAAAGGACACAGACAGAGCGCTGTCTGTGTTACAAAGATTAAAATTATATGATAAATAGCCACTACCTTTGATCCACGCAATAGTTTAGGCAAATTTGCTTTTTTCTTCAAAGGAGAGTTTACACTTTATCATGCAGGACACGAACTATTGCTTAAAAGCTTAACACGACATGAAAACAACCCTCCCTCCGTCCGTCGAACAAAAGCTTGTGCGGAGGATGAACGAGCACTAACAACCCATAACTTTAATTTATAAAATGGCATATCCACACCGCATTAGCGTTACGCTCTTTTTCAAACCCATTCAGAACGGGCATTGACCTATAGCTAAAAGCGCGAGCTAGCTGCTTTGGATAAAGCCCCGGCGGCTGCACGAGCGCTCGTGCAGCGAGTGCTCCAGTCAGGCCGTTCGCGCTCGCACAGTCTTCTCAGTTAGTTCATGCTAAGGTGAGACGTAGTATATATGTGATCGTACTTACCACCATCACGTTGAGAGCGTAGTATTGCTTGCGGCACCAATACGCCGCCTTCGTGACGGTGGGGTCGTTCTCTGACGGGGCGACGATGGCAATCATCGTCCCGTCGACGCAACCGATGACGCCGGGTATCCTGCCGAGCCGTTGGAAGCCCCTCTCGACGTCGTCCCTCTCGCCGGTTGTCTGGGGAAAGTCGATCCAGCCGCGCCGGATCCCCAGACACTGCACAATAGCGAGGGACACAGCCCGCACAACGATGCTGACTGTAGACTGATCCCTCGCTATGTGCTCGTCGCTCGCCACCATGCCCTGAAAACTCCCCGTGGCGTAAAAGCGAAGTGCGCACAACACTTGCTGTTCCACAGTCATCACAGTCCACGAACGTCGCAGCCTCCTCAACTCAGGCTCCTCGCGCAGTTCGTCGCACAACCAACGGACCACATTCTTGGTGAGACGGTACTGCCTCCGAAAAGCTTCCTCCGGTAATTCGAAGGCATCGCGGTGCTGCCGGTAAAGCCTCTCCGGAGCAAAAAAAAGTTCCACGATAGGAAAGCTGTCGCTCTGCCTCCGAGACGCCGTCGACGCCGTGTTTCCCATTGCGAAGCCTCGAAGAGAACGACGACAGACTCGTTCCCTTTTTAGACGAAACACCGAGGAAACGATACGTCAAAATGATGTCACTTCCGATGATGGCGGTTCGCCGTCTCCGCCCACATTTTTGTAGGGAACTTTCGTCATTCGAGCCTCAACCAATCAGACGCGATGTCGTCACTTCCGTTTCTTTTAGGAGAAACGAAACATTTGTCCAACATAGGTCCCCAGGAATACGAGCACCGCTACGGCGATATGACTGATGCTGTCGCACAGGTGCTAATATCCAGAGCTATCTTGTACAGAAAAGGTATACATTCTTTCAGATCTTCACGTTATACCTGCGTCAGAGAGCACGAAGAAGTCGAAATCGTCTGCAAGCAGCGGCACATTACGACTACCGCGCACCGAACCAACTCGTATCCACCAGCTCTGGGCGCTGC